TCAATTCAAATTCATTTAACAGATTTTGTTGAATAGGAATAGCTTTTTCATCAAATGTTACAACTTGGAAAATGTTGAACGTAACATAATATGTGAAATTAATTTCAAAGTTGAACTTTTTTCAGTGACCACAAGTTTGTGGTATTTGGTTCAACACCTGACAAACCCAATCTTCAGTTTGGTTCTGCATCAAGTTGATTAATAATAATACTAGCAAAAAGGATAATTATAACTAATATTATGTAGCGTCTGCTGGCTGTTGTGCCAGGTGCTTCACACAGATTATCCCCCTTGATCTTCGCAGCTGGGTTGGCAGGTAGATATTATTTCCTTTGCACATCTGAGGAGACAGGCAGCCAGAGGTTAAATGACATGCCCAGAGTCACAGTGCTGGTAAATGTCTGAGGTGGGCTTTAAACTTGGCTCTCCCAGACTTCTAGGCCCAACTCTGTATCTACTGTGTTACTAGGTATACAGACAGTCCCTGCTTTTCAGAAATTCACATTAGGTAAGTTTGACTTCCACGGGGCAGCAGGACCCCTTGTTGGCCTGGGCCAAGTCTGCAGCAACTCTGTTCTAGGCACTGGAGTCGCACCAGGGGCTGGGGCCCCAGAGCGGCAGAGCCCTTGAGGGTGGGGGAAGGTCTGCTGAACAGTCCACTTACGTTAAGTGAGAACTGGCCTTATTTGATTTGTAACCTAATTGCAGTGAAAATGTTCCCTTGTTGAGTTCTAAATTCATTTTGCTTTGTTTTGTGTTGTTTTGAGCCCCCAGACCAGTCCACAGAATGAGTGGCTAGTTACTGTATAAGATAATTGGCTATTGACAAGGACTGTACTAAATGGTAAATGGAGGTGAAGTTGAATTGCACATACTGCTTTGGTTTTTGTTGCTGTTTGGTCATTTCAGTCGTGTCTGACTCTTCCCGATCCCATTTGGTTTGCCATTTCCTTCTCCAGCTCATTTTATAGATGAGGAAACTGAGGCGAACAGGGTTAAGTGACTTGCTTAGGGTCACATGGCTACTAAGTGTCTGAGGCCAGATTTGAACTCTTGAAGATGAGTCTTTAAGACTGACCCCAGGCCGGGCACTTTGTCTCCTGCACCCCTAGCTGCCCCGTGGCTTTTTTTTCCTTTCTTCTTTTTCATACCAGATCTTTATATCTCTCTCTCTATACGCCCTTTGTTTGGAAAGAACTGTTCAGATGTGACTTTCTTCTTTCTCCCACTGGTACACTGGCCACACTCTCCCAGAAGGTCTGAGGCATGACTCACCTGGGTGCCCCTGAAAATCTGCCAGATAGAAAACAGCAAGCTAAGCAGGAGATAAGTTCCAATCGGAAGGTGGCCTTGGCACTGTAAGGAGAGGCAGTGGAAGGAATGTTTCTGTCGCGTGTGTGTGGTGGTCCATGATGGTTTCAAGATGGCGTGTAATACGTAAGCTGCACTGGAAGAAGGTGAACATGCGTCACCCCTTCGTGGTGATTGCAGTGCTGATGAGATGTGATTACAAGGCAGCTCCTCAGGTGCGGTGTGCAGAAAGCCAACGGGGTGTGTGCACACCTGTGACCATCCATTGGGCGTGGATGTGTGCTTGTCTGTCAGACTTTTCTGGCCGTGTGGACACAATTTGAGGACAGGGTGAGGAATCGAAACAACATGTTGCCCTTAGAAGTGGTCAGTTATCGATGGAATCACTGCATGAGCACCAATTTCGTTTCATGCCCAGTCACCATGATTTGGAATCACTGCACAAAGACAGCTCTTATGCCTCAGACACTCAGGTGTTGCTTGTCCCAGGGGAAAAATATATTGGTAACAACACTGGTCAGGTCTTTGTTGCATAAGATGCCATCAAAGAGTTTTTAGCTAAAACCCCTTGGACATCGCTGTGAACCTCCAGAGTTTTCAGGAACCACTCCATGGGCCGTGGTGCTAGAGGACCAATAGCGAATCTTGCTATTCACTTCCAGACAGAAGGATCATGGACTCAAGATATGACACATAAAATATGATAGATAGTGAACTAATATGAGTATTTAGTACATGTGCAATACATGGCATACTGTCTTTGGATCTGAATAGAAAAGAAGAAAAGTTGGATATGACACTGGAAACTATTATATGACTGTTCAAATGAGTAAATTCAACTTAGCCTATGAAATTTACCAGGAATGACCATGTGCGAGTGCATCCAGACTGGTCAGTACAGAATGGCAGGAGGATGACCGGAGACTGACAAAATCATAAGTATCATAACAACAGCCTTAGGAGAAAAGATAGAAAGTGCAGTGGAGAAGGGCCTTCTAGTACCGTGGACAGGGCATGCTCAGTCGCAGGGTGGGAGTTCTAGTCGCAGCGGCTAGGCTGTCGCTCAGGTCACCCGGCCGTGATGAGCTTGTGGCCTGAGTTGTGAAAGGTAATGAGAACGCTTGGCCTGCCTGTGTCACAGGTTTGTTGTGAGGATCCCGTGTTACGGCATGTGAAGATCTTTGTGACCAAATGGCATTTCCACAGATTGATTCTGCCTAGTGGAGTTTTAAAACTCTTTTTTTTAAAACTAGGGAAATAGGATATAAATCAGTTTATTTTCTGCCATCAGAGAAAAGAACGTAGAATTATGTGTGTATGTGTGTGTGAGTGTGCGTGTGCGAGTGTGTGTGTCTTTCTGTATATATGATTGTTTGTTTTCTTTAGATGTAGAGACCAGGTTTGAAGTGAATGAGAAGACTACTCAGCTGAGAATTTTTGTGGAAGAATCTGGCCAGCAAAAGTTCATGGGTGACGGTGCCTGGGACTTGAGTTTGAGAGCAATCTGTGACTCTGTTATCGTGGAAGATGAAAATCCAAAGAGTGACTGTGAAGTTAATGAAATTGGAAAGAAACCAAGACAGTCTTCAGTCCTAAATCACTGTAACAGAATGAGCTCAGGGAATGACTGTTTCCAGGATAGTGAGTATAGCAAATGCTTTCCTGAACATGTAAAGCCTTTTCAGTCCCAGGAGAAGCCTCCTGAAATGCGGAGGGATCAAGGTAATCAAGAGGAAATGGCCATTGGCTGGAATTCAGACCTCATTAGACATCCAAAAAGTTTTACTGGAGAGATGCTTTCTGTAAGTGATAAAGATGGCGTGGCTTTCAAGCCGAACTCTAAGCTCGTTAATCATCAGAAAATTCATATTACAAAGGTGCCTTATGAAAATAATAAATGTGAAGCAACCTCATGCCATCACTCATCTCTTCCTTACCATCCTAGAGTTCACCTTGGAGTAAAAAGATATGCATGTCCTCAGTGTGGGAAGGCCTTTGGTTGGAATGCAGATCTTATACACCAGAAGATTCATACTGGAGAGAAGTTTTATAAATGTGAAGAATGTGGGAAGGCTGTCTGCTACAGATCACTCCTTACTGGCCATGCAGAGAAACCTTTTGAGTGCAGTGAATGTGGGAAGGATCCTGATTCAGCTGTACATCAGAAAATCTGCACTGGAGAGAAAACCCATAAATGTAATCATTGTGAAAGGGCTTTCAGATACAGCTCCAGTCTTGTTTTACATGAGATAATCCATAATGGAGAGAAATCTTTTGAATGTAATCAGCCTGGAAAGACTTTAACAGAGAGGGCCAATTTTGCCAAACATCAGAGAACCCACCCTGGAGAGAAACATTTTAAATGTAATCAGTGCGGAAATGCTTTTACACACAAGGGCCATCTTACTTTACATCAGAGAATCCACATTGGAGAGAAACGTTATGAATGTAATCAATTTGAAAAGATTTTCACACCGAGGGCCCCCCTTGCTTTACATACAAGAAGCCACACTGGAGAGAAACTTTATGAATGTAAACAATGTACAAAGACTTTCAGATGCCGCTCCCGTCTTACTGACCATGAGAAAACCCACACTGGAGAGAAACCTTATGAATGTAATCAGTGTGGAAAGGCTTTTACACAGAGCTCCAATCTTGCTGTACATCAGAGAATCCACACTGGAGAGAAACCTTTTGAATGTAAACAATGTGGAAAGGCTTTCAGATACAGCTCCAGTCTTGCTAAACATCAAGGAATCCACACTGGGGAGAAACCACATGAATGTCACCAATGTGGAAAGGCTTTCAGAATGAGCGCCAGTCTTGCTACCCATCAGAGAATCCACACTGGAGAGAAACCTTATGAATGTAGTCATTGTGGAAAGGCTTTCAGAATTGGTTCCAGTCTTGCTAAACATCAGAGAATCCACACTGGAGAGAAAGTTTATGAATGTAGTCAATGTGGAAAGGCTTTCACACAGAATTCACATCTTGCTGCACATCAGAGAATTCACACTGGAGAGAAACCTTTTGAATGTAAACTATGTGGAAAGGCTTTCAGGTCCAACTCCAGTCTTACTGATCATCAAAAGATCCATAATAGGGACAAACTTTTTGAATGTAATCAATGTGGAAAGCCTTTCACAAAGAGCTCCAGTCTTGCTGTACATCAGAGAATCCACACTGGAGAGAAACCTTATGAATGTAATCAGTGTGGAAAGACTTTCACACAGAGGAACCATCTTTCTGTACATGAGAGAATCCACACTGGAGAGAAACCTTATGAGTGTAATCAGTGTGGAAAGGCTTTCAGAATCAGCTGCAGTCTTGCTAAACATCAGAGAATCCACACTGGGGAGAAACCTTATGAATGTGATCAGTGTGGAAAGGCTTTCACACAGAGGGCCAATTTTGCTAAACATCAGAGAATCCATACTGGAGAGAAACCTTATGAATGTAATCAGTGTGGAAAGGCTTTCACAAAGAGCTCCAGTCTTGCTATACATCAAATAATCCACACTGGAGAGAAACCCTATCGATGCAGTCTGTGTGGAAAGGCTTTTGCAAAGAACTCCAGTCTTGCTGCACATCAAAAAATCCACTCTGGACAGAAACCTTAGGAATACAATTAATGTGGTAATGTCTTCAGGCAACAATCATCTCATTTCCCATTTGAGAATTTATATTGAATAGAAATCTTATCACTGTCATGAATGAGGAACGGCATTCAAATGGTATTCAGAGCTTGTTCAACATTAAATTCATTGTGATGAACAGCTATGCGTGGATTCTGTGTGGGAAGGCTTTCAGCCGGAGAACATCTCTATTTATATCATAGGATTGTGAAGAGAAGCCTTAATGTGCTGAGGGGAACGTGCTTTTCTCTGGAAGAGCGTGATCAGATAGACAACAGTATTCACAATGGAATGACAGCGTATAAAAGCATTGGTTATGGAAAGGACTTCACCTAGAGGTCATACTTGAGTGTACTTTGGACGCGTCATGCTAGACATAAAACTTATGGATCTAATTAATAAGGGAAGGCCTCTTGCTGCGGAACAGATTTAATTAGACTTCTCAACAGAAGAGACATCATTAAACATAACAAATTTCGTACTGTGCGCAGAACTCTAAAAACGCAATGAATTTTTCTCTGAAATCCTAATATTTGTCATCCCTCCTCAATATTTCCTGGCATTTATATACTATAACTTCTTTAGCCATTACCCAATTAATTGGTATTTACTTTGTTTCCTGTTGTTTGCTGGCATGAAAAGTCCTTGTATATATGTTTTAGTGACTATTGGGCATTTCTTTCTTTCGTGCTTTCTTTAAGCAATGAGGTGGCCCAGTGCATGAAGTGCTGTGCTTCAGCCCACAAGACCTGAATTCCATTTTGGTCCCGGGCACTTATAGTGGTATGTCCTTGTGCAAGTCAAGTAACCTTTTCCTGCCTGAGTTTCCCCATCTGTAGAATAGGGTTAATAAGAGCATTTGCCTCCCAGGGTTGAGGTAAAGATTAAGTGAGGCACTATTTCTAAATGTTTTGCAAGTATTAAATCACTATGGAAATACCATTTTTATGGTTATCATTCCTTAGATTATAAGTCTCACAGTAAAGTCAGTTGGCTAAAACATATGGACAGTTTAGTTGCTTCTCTTTTCATTCAGATTGACATTCAGAGCAAAGTCGAAGAAGGCGTTAATTGTAATGGATGGAGCATTTGGTTTAGAACTTGGGAAAATGGGTTCAGATCCTGACTCCCATGCTTCCTAGCTCTCTAACTGTGGGCAAGGAACAAGCAATCTCTCTGTCTCACTTTGCTCATCTCTAAAATGAGGACGTTGAACTCAGCGGCTTTCATGGTCCCTTACAAATCTAAATATGTCAAAGTACACATGAATATGTGTCCCTTTCCCACAACCTCTTCCAGTATTCCAGGAAGGAGATCTGGCAGAATCAAATCTGAAACTATACCAGATCATCAAGAATGTTTTGTCCTACTTAACAATAGGGATCTTGAGAAACTGAAGAGATCAGGTGTGTAACGTACAAAAGAAAATGAGTAGAGTTACCTTGTGTTCATTCAATCCAAAGACCTCCACTGTGGGGCCAGGGTTTACTAACCACTGCAACATGCTGGAAACACTGGAAAGTAATCTGGCAGAAAATAAATATGGGCCAGCATGTCACACTAGACCACGCTTAGCTCCAAATGAACGCCCAGCTTAGATATAAAAAGTCCCCTCAAACAAAGTGGAAGAACCATGGAGAAGCTACAGTTGTGGATAGTAGAAGAGTTCCTCTCCAAACAAGGGACAGAGAGGATGACCGAAAATAAAATGGGCAGTTTTCATCATGTTAAAAAAATGCATCAAAAATTTAAAGAGAAGCAAGTAACCGTGAAACAGATTTGTAGCAAGTTTCCTTCTTCAAGGCTACATTTCCAAGGTATATAAGGAACAGGTATTGATTATATGCAGGCATATAAAGAACGGATATAATAAACATCGGTTGGTTGTTGTCCTTTATTCTCAAAAAGGACCAAACTGACACCATAATGTTGGAATCAAGTCCCAGGGTGCCTGACCGTGGCTGATCAGAGCAGCGCGAGCTCGGAACGCTCTAGCACGGGTCAGGCACGAGTAGTCCATGTGAACATTGGGGTAGAGATATCTTTACATTTGTGACTCTCACTCTTTTTTTGGACTGCTTCCATTCCGCTTTGCTCCTGGAGCACACACCTTCTGTGATGTGGGCACACTTTGCTGGCCTGGCCTCTGCCAGTGCCTCTCATGTCACACAGTCGATTCCGTAGCTCTTCGTAATAAATTTATGCTCCAAAGCTATGAATAGACATTTTTCAAAGGAGGAAATGCAAATTATTAACCACTGTAAGGAAAAAAAAATTATTCTCTATATGTAATCACTAATCCAAATCACTAATCAGTAGAAAGATTTAGGGGCAGCTACGTGATTCATTGGATAGAGCACTGGCCTTAGAGTCAGGAGGACCTGAGTTCAAATCTGGCCTCAGATACTTAGTAGCTGTGTGACCCTGGCCAGGGATAGGGAACCTGCGGGCATTGAGGCCACATGTGGCTTTCTAGGTCCTTGGATGCGGCCTTTTCATTGAGTCAAAGTTTTACAGAACAATCCTTTTATTAAGGGGATTTGTTCTGTGAAGTTTGGATTCAGTCAAAGGGCCACACTTGAGGTCCTACAGGGCTACATGCAGATTCCCCAACTTGGTCCTGGGCAAATCACTTAACCCCAATTGCCTCAAAAAAAAAGAAAAGATTTTCAGATTATTAAAGGTGACTAGAAAGTGAGCATCAGAAATATTGTGTTTTCCTCAATTTGTGTATTTGTTACAAGAGGTTTTTGTTTTGGCAGATCAGTGGGGGAGAAAACAAATATAATTTTAAAAAAAGTAGGAAAAACGCTCCAAATCAGTAATTTGATAAATGCAAATTAAATCACCTGTCAGGTTCCACGTCACCTATGTGCAGCTAACTAAGATGACAAGGGAAAAAAAAATTAGAAATGTTGGAAGGGCTGTGGGAAAATAAACACATTAATTAATTTACCCTTAGTAAAGCTATGAAATCCTCCTCCCCCCCATCATGAGGTTGGGTATGCTCTTTGGCTTATTGATACCACTAGATGGCGTATTCCCTTAAAGAAAGGAAGAGGACTGAAACAAAAAGATAAACACCAGCTCCTTGTGTGATGGCAAAGAACAGGGAAGTAAGACGTGACGTCCTCTAATAGGGCAACAGCTGAACAAATTTTGGCACGTGAATGTTATGGAGCAATAATATGCCATAAAGCACAGGCAATATCTGTGGCAGCTGGGAAGGTTGGTATGGATTAAGGCAGACTATCAGGAGTAATTGATAACAATAATAGCAATTCTGAAGGCCAGCAACTTGGCAGGATGTCACTCCTCTCGTTATTGTATACTGGACCGGGGATTTATCGGGTTGTGTGTAACCTGCCTCCTCGCCGGGAGGGGATTGATACAAGATGTAGAATAAAAAGTTTAAAGAATAAAATATTTTGTGAAATGGACAGTGTACGATTTCATTAGAAATATTTTAATTGTTGATTTTTTTTGGTTTTTTGGTTTTGGGTAGGAGAGGATGGCAGTGTGAGGGAGGCTAGGAATAAGATTGCCCTTCCTCCACCTTCCACACACCAAAATAACAAAGAAGGAAATTGATGGATTATAGTAATACACACAGTAAAACAGAAGGAAGGCCGGTAGCAATGAGAACAGAGTTGAAAGTGCCGTGTTGAACTTTTTATTACTCAAAAAGAAAGTCAAGCTATGCATATTAGAACTTGTTTCATGTACAGTCCTCTTTTTTTTTTTCCTTTCTATGTTATGGTGTGTATAAGGTGTTTGCTTTATTTCACGTTTGTGAATTTCAGAATTTTTAAAAAATCAGATATTGATGGTTTCCTTTTTCATTCTTACCAATTTTGAAAGCATGACACAAAATGGCAAAATTATTTTCATATGGCTTTTTTTTTTTAATCAATGCTTTGAAACGTGTCATTTATGATTAACAAGACTTTGGAAAACTTCCAGCACTTATCCATCACCAGTGGCTCCTGGTACACTTGAGTATCAGTTCTTTCCATATCTTGAATATAAATGACTAATTGTTCATTTTTTCATGTAATATTTTATGTATTATCCACTCTATAATTTCTTTGCTAATTTGACCTTTATTTATTTTATTCAAGCGTTTAGATTTTATATAGTTAGAATTATCTATTTTTTAAAAAATCTGTATCTTAGATCAGGAACTCTTCTAGCCAGTTGTTAAAAGTATCTGAATGTTTTCTTCTTTTAAAAGAAGATTTTTTTCGTCAGGAAAAATTCCATGTGCCCCTCCTACCCACAACTCCCATTACAAATCTGTATAATCAAGAATAACATTCCTGCATTTTCCTCTCCCCCCCAAATATATCTATCTATCTATATCTATCTATATATCTATATATATCTGTAAAATTTCTGTGTGGTGTTGAGAAATATGTATATTCTTGAGCAATTCCCATTTAGAAGGTGCCCTAAGTCTTTTTGCTCTAGCCTCGCTGGCATATTGTTCAGGTCTAGTTTTCTTTTGCTTATCTTTCAGTGACACTTCTCTGAATTGAGATGGGGACATTGAAATAGTGTCAGTTTGCTACTAAGTCTTCTTATAGCACGGTTAATCTTTCCATTATAAAATCAAATGTTAAAAGACATTTTAATAGTGCTATCGGTCACCATCTGTGGTGACTTTCAGTATGATATTGTTTTCTGGCTTATCTCTTTCCATGTTTTTAATGATTGTTTCTGTTTAGTCTGGTAGCATGATTGTAACTCCTGATTTTTTGGATTCACCTAACTAGCAGTACATTTCTGTCTCTTCTGCTCCCTAGACCATTATTTTTATTCTGTGCATTTAAAAAAAAAATGTTTCATGTAGCAACAGACTATAGGGTTTTTCTATTTAATTTATCAATGTTTTTTCATTTTACTTTCATTTAAAGTTATGAGTTAGATTTTTAATCTTCCTCCCATTTCCACGTTAAACCTTTCCATAGATTCAGATTTTTGCTTATTTGTTCCTTTTTATTGTCTATTCTTATATAGGTATTTCTTCCTCTTTTGTTCTCAGTTAATTGTCAGGTAGAATCTCTCCTTCAAATTATTTTATTTGTTTTTAAAATTATTTTCATTTTCTGTCCTTTTTCCTTGAAAGAATTCCCCCCTATTTCTCTTCTTTATTTATTTTTCTGACTATTCTACCCTTTTGTTTTTTGATTCATGACACATTGAGTTGGTCCCCTTCCTTATTTTTTTTTCCTTATGGTACTAATAATTTTGAGGTATTTATTTTGGCTTTCCTCTTCTAAAGAGATTCTGCTCTTGCCTTGGAGATATTTTCTTTGGCCCCCCCTTTTTTTTTCAATTATGTCTCACTCTTAGAAATAAGAATTCTTGTGTGTGTGTGTGTGTGTGTGTGTGTGTGTGTGTGTGTGTGGCATTCAGGGTTAAGTGACTTGCCCAGAGTCACTCAGCTAGTAAGTGTTATGTGTTTGAGGCTAGATTTGAACTCAGGTCCTCCTGACTCCAGGGCCGGCCGTCTAGCTGCCCTCGGAAATAAGAATTCTTGATGAGAAGACACTCCCCAATTGTAGATTCTTCCTGCGGCTTGATTATTTAGTTCATCATTGACTTTCCCTCCTCATGGTCGTCTTTCCCATTTGCCTTGACATCTCCACCCTGGCTCCGTGCCTTTCCTCTCTGTTGGGTGTCAGTTGTTCTCAGAAGCAATTTCCCTTCCTTTCTCAGAAGATTTCCCTTCCCCTTAGATGAGGTGGGTGACCGGTCGGTTTAAGCAGTAAATCCTGTTGTCAGTTCTCAATCTCCCCTGGAAGATATCGCTTGGCCCATAGGTGCATGTATCATTGGCACCCCCTCCAAACATTGGAACAAGATTTCCCCTTTTCTTTCTCCCGTTTTCAGTCCCTGCCCTTTTCCTCTTAAGCCATTCTGCTCTAGGCTCTCTTAATCCTGGGAGACGGCAGGCGTAAGTTTCCTTTCATCATCAGCCTTTGACTTGATTAAGGTACGCTACACACTCTTGAGTTTCCTGTCCTCCTCTCATTCTGTGATTTAGTCCCACAGAAACATCAGCTCGTCTGGAGGATGGCGTGAGGTTTAGTTAGTGATCTTTCAGGCCTGTTTTTCCCACTATCACTTCTTTTTGACTTTTGCTTTCACCGTTATCTCCGTATGTACAGTTCTGCAGTCTTGCTCAGTCGTGTCCAACTCTTCATGACTCCATTTGGGGTTTTCCTGGTGGAGATTCTGGACTTCTCCAGCTCATTTATAGATGAGGAAATGGAGGCAAACAGAGGGGAGTGACTTGCTCCGGGGTCACACAGCTAGTTAAGCGTCTGCTCATAGATTTGAACGCAGGCCTTCCTGACTCCAGGCCTGGCACTCTATGCACTATGGTGCCACCTAGTTGCCCTCTACTCATTACTTTCTTGTTACTTTGTTGTTCTTCGTTGCTTTGTGTGGCGTAACACTGTTGCCTCAGTGGTTTGAGAAGCAAATAATTTTTCCCAGTCTGGTTTTCTTTTTAGAAATGTTTCCGAATGCCCCCTTCTTATTGAATGTCCGTCTTTTTTATTTGTAATTAGGCTCACATTTATAGGGTAGGTGATCTTGGGGTTCATCGGGAGCTTTCTCTTTCTTTTTTAATATTTAGATTTTGTTTATTCTTTTGATGTGCCATTGAGTAAAGGGAAAAAAATACTTCAGGGTATAAATCACTTGCACTTTAGTATTTTAAGGGGCCCTGGTCTCGTTGGTATGGGTATACCCTATTCTGCCAGTGCATTTTGCCACCCCTTTTCATCCTGTGAATTTTTTGTCCAAGTCTTTGGATAAATCCTCCACAGAGAATCTACCCAGTTTGAAGGAGACATCTTGTAATAGTTCATGGATTTTAGTGAACTGAGTCTATTCCCTACTGCATACGTGGCCTGCCTCCCTATCCAGTCATCCACGTCCTTAATGATTCCTATATTAAAGAGTGTCAGGATGGAAATTTGTCGATAAAACTTTATCTTGCTGCTTAAAATGAAGCTGTCTCTGTGCAGAGTAGAATATAGTTACATTCCTAAGAATAAAAGAAAGAGTCCTTCAGGTGTCTTGAACTGCTGTCCGTCTATTCTAATTTACATGTCTTTGACATTCTTAAGTGGTTTTTTGTTTTAGTCTGAAGTAGATTATTTCTTTTTATTTTTAGTTTTAACTTACTATGGACTCCAG